GTTGTTGTTTTTTAATCAGATTAAAATTCAGCTGCTCTTAAGGAGCTCAATTTCTATGAAGACAAAAGGATTCCCCTATGAATTTGGAGCTGTGCCAGACATTTAAATAAGCAGTGTCCCACCTCCTTAGTGATTTTGTACCGAAATGCCTTGGATGTTGGGATATTCCCTACCTCTTTTCCCCTGGGTGACGGAAGATGTCAGAACATCCATTAAATTGGATAGAGTAGGCCTGGAGAAGGCAGAATGCTTGTACCTGGATACCAGTGTGGTCAATCAACGTTCCGTGAGTGCCAGAAATACAAAAACAGTTGTCTTTGCCCCGTAAGAGTTTCAGGAGCTAGGAGAGGAAGTCAGTCAGTGTTGAATAATAATACAGCAAATTATTTCATGCGTGGCTTTCTAGGTCTATTTCCCTGGCTCGACGGTAAGGATTATGGCAGGTCTTAAATATTCAGTGTTAGGATGATTATTTTCCTGGCAAACCGGTCCTGACAGAATATCCCACTGTCTCCCAACACGTTCATATCCAATTCACAGCCTTGAAAAGGGGCCCTGCCTGCTGGTGAGGGCATGGCGCTGAGCGGACAGGGACTCCTACCTGGGACTTCTGCCTCACTTACCTCAAGCCAGTTACTTAGCCGATCTTGTGCCCTGCTTTTCTCGTTGGTAAGCAGAGCATGATAATTTAGATTCTGCCTCCCTCGTGGCAACAAGTGTGACGCGATGAGATAATAAATGTTCAGGCTGTGAACAGATAAACGCCATTTCTGAGCTAGTCTTAATCAGTTGGTCCCAAGTCTCCATCCTATTTCATGGAGCATCCTTGTACCTGTCTTTAAATGTCCTCATTCCTCTATAACTCAGGGTCTCACAGCCTAAGGAGTAAAATGGGGGGAACTGGGAATTATTGTGTTTATTTGCACTTAATTTTGTCTCCATCATTTGTATCTTCGTGTGCTAATTTCTCTGGCGGGGAAGATGTGCTTTCCTGCCAGAGAAATCCATCGTGCCACTTTGGCATCTCAACATTTATTTACCCAAAAACATGACTTAAGGCCTCCAGGCTTTTCAAGCAGGCAGCTGGTTGATGAATCATGTTCAGTCGTGGAGTGCTGCTGGCCCATATCAGAGGAACACTCATGCCTGTCACCTGCCCCTGTCAGTTCTTTCTCTTCTAATAAAATACATCTGTTTTGGTGACTGAATAAAAACACCCCGAGGGAAGAAAGGCTGGGTGTGGAGTAATTTAATCAGGGCAAGTCAGCACTCTGTGTTGCTGTGTTGAGTGCTACAGTATCAAGGATAGGAAGATGATTTGGTAGCAGCTTCTTGAAACAGAAGCCGCCAGAAAGGGCTGGAAGCGCAGTTCTTCTGATGATCATAATGGGTCACCCTCCTGGAATGCAGGTGGCCCAACCTATCCCCCAAGTCCGGATCGTCAGGGGACAAGATTCCCAGAAGCTCCCTTCTGCATTGCCACAAGGTTTTACATGGCCTTTCTCTGTTAGCATCATTTTAACATTCTGTTGAGGATTATAAATTTTTAAGGAAGGTCAAACCAAAGTTCAGAGCTCTGGCAGCAGCGCTTTTTAATATTGGCTTTAGTGGCTGTGTTAGGTATCCTGAGGAACTGATTAATTTAAAATGCCCTAGTTTTAAAAGTAAAACAGCAGGGAGACTGACATTTGCAGTCTGGTATTCTGCAGTTCTCACTACTCATTGTATTAAAAAAAATTTTTTTTTCTTTGTTGTGAATATCCAGTAGTATATAATTTTGTGTTGCATTTAAAGAGGAGAAAGTAAACATGTTCGGGGTGCTGGTCTGCCCCGAATCGCATCATCTCACATGAGCGATGGGGGGAGGCAGGATTTAGGGGGCATGGGATATTTAAAGTACATTTGAAAGTAGCTTAAGTACAAATAGCAATATAAGTTATAGGTCTGTGGTTTGTTTTTTGTTTTTTGTTTTCTTTTTTTAATGATTCACCTGCTGATGCTCTTAAAGTCCTTACTTGCTGAGGAAGGAATCACTATCCAGGATGAAGAATCAGGAACTCCAACAACAGTGGCTCCTTTATTTCCATTTCTAATTCTGTTGGTGATTATACTGTTCCCTTTTTTACTTCAGCTAAGTCATTTTCACTTCTCTGTGTGTATTTTTTTTTTTTTCTATGAGACAAGATCTGTGATACCCGATATTTTATTAACAGGTGTTCTGGAAATGATCTATCTCAAAAATAAAAACACTAAATATAGCAGTTAAGTTCAAGCATTCTGAATGTTGTTATGGTTTAAAAATCCAATCCAATGAATGCTTCACATTGAAACTATTTCTTGTTAAGAAACCTGGGGATAAATGATATATATCCTACAGCTCTATCATCCTGGTTAAATCTCTCCTGACTCAGATCACACATTAGCATTTTTACCATATGGCTCAAAGGGTAGAGAATATATGTGCAGAGGAACAAATCGGTAACATTTTTTGACCATCTGGTAAATAAATGTGTAAGTAGCAGGAATTTTAATATTATTTGTTTAGTTATATGGGTACAGATTTAACTTGAAATAGCCTCTAATACAGTAAGGTAGATCTGAATTTATATTTCTCAAATAATTTTGATCTAATTCATGAAACATACTCATAGTCTACTCTGTGCTTTTAAAATCTGACTCCTAAGTATGTGTTTCTCATGTTTATTGTTTTATTAGGGCTCCTTAGAGTGCCTAATTTAAAATCTCTTTCCTGAGAAGCCACATGATTGGAGCCAGCATAGAGGCTTCCCTGGAGAAGTTCTGCTCTACCCCGACCACTGTGTGACCAGGGATAAATTAGCTGGCCTCTCTAAGCCTCGAATTTTTCATCTATAAGTGTGAATAGCACTGTCAAACAGTATCTCTCAGAGGGTGGGCCATGAAAGGCCATGGACTGATGTCTCAGAATCTTGGGGGGGATTGTCAAGACACCCAACACATAGGCCCGACCCCACCCTCAGAGATTCTGACTCAGTATGTCTGCACACAGCTTATGAATCTGCATTTTTAGTCACTGTCCCAAGAGATTCTGAGGTACACCAAGCTATTGTTATGAAGATGAGTTGATGATAGCACCTAGCTTTCTAGCAGAATATGTAGTTAGCTAATTCTAACAAGTGCTAAAATTTCGGTAAATAATTTATTATTATTATTAAGCATAACCCTAAAAATAGACATCTTCTATCCTAGAAACTTAACAGCATTTGTGCCCTCGCTGTATTATTCCTTATAACTAATGCAAATATATAGTTATGTCACGATAAAATTTTAAAAAATATTCTAACTTCATAGAAAATAGCATATCAACTTGAATAGTAATGCTGGTGATTCATTTAAATATACCTCTCAATTTTCCTTCTTTAATTAGATCCTTCTTTTTTTTCTTGTCCAGGAAACCACAAAATATTTGTGGACTAGATCTGAATCAGGAGCCCAGATGTACTTAAAGAAGCTAGCATGGGATTTTTAGTTTTTCAAGATCTATACACACAAAACCCTTAATCACTACAACCCCAGTGTCCAGGCTGTCTCTGGTTTTATAAAGACATAGTGAAACTCTGAGGATGGAAAAGCAAAGGACTTAATTACTTGCTTCAGTATCATCGAATGTCAACTGAAAAGTGAACCAGACAGAAGTACAGCCATGGAGAGAAATTCAAGTCTATGGAAGAACCTGATAGATGAACACCCAGTCTGTACCACCTGGAAGCAAGAGGCCGAAGGAGCCATTTATCATCTTGCCAGTATTTTATTTGTAGTAGGTTTCATGGGCGGCAGTGGATTCTTCGGGCTCCTTTACGTCTTCAGTTTGCTGGGGTTGGGTTTTCTCTGCTCTGCTGTCTGGGCTTGGGTAGATGTCTGTGCAGCTGACATATATTCCTGGAATTTTGTACTGTTTGTCATCTGCTTCATGCAATTTGTTCACATTGCATATCAAGTTCGCAGCATAACTTTTTCCCGAGAATTCCAGCTATTGTACAGCTCCCTTTTCCAGCCTCTGGGGACCTCTTTGCCCGTCTTCAGAACAATTGCTCTGAGCTCTGAAGTGGTTACTTTGGAAAAGGAACACTGTTATGCCATGCAGGGGAAAACCTCCATTGATAAACTCTCCCTGCTTGTTTCGGGAAGGTTTGTACTCTTGGTGCTTGCTCTATATTAGTTATTTCCTTTGTATTAGTTACTAGCTGGTGTTTCTTTCTGCTACACTTTTCCATCTCAGCATAGCACAGTCCTGGGCGGTTTTTAGCACCGTGAGGCATGAGAAACCCCTTGACATGTACGTGACTCATGGACATAGGCGTTTAGAGTACATGCTATTATTTACCTGAAGTAGGATATAATCGAGAGCCTTAATATTTCTTCTTAGAAATCAAATGTACAAATGGGTTTGTCTGGATATGCTATTTGTTTCCAGGCTAATCACTGAGAGTCAAGAAGAGGATGATGCCAGCTTGAATTAATAGAATACTTATGTTGGCATGCAAAGTACTTTAAATAGACTGTGATAGGGCATTCTTTTAAGTAATAGAGAACATTTAAGTTTTATAATGATCAATTTTCTTCAGTAAATTCTAGAATTGCCCACTTGCTAGAAGCAGGGGGTTCACCATATATGATTTTTATATCTATCTTTGTATGTATATAAAGTTTGAAATCAGAAAGTTTGGGGAAACTTTAATGGAAACAATAGTGTGATTATTCATGCCTTTAAAAAGTTTAAATATTAGTCTACAGAGGTATTTACAGTGCCACTCCTTTATGTTCTTCAGTGTTTTCCTACTTAATTTAAAATCCAACTGCGTGCATTGGAACTTTGTCTTCAAGTATAATATATACACACAAATGGGCACATACCATCAATGTATACCTTGATGCATCGTCTGATGAATTTCACCCAATATTCCAGAATCCTAACTGTGTGAGGAACATCAGTACATGAATCTTAGAGGAGATTTTGTCACTTACTGTAATGCGTGAATTTAATATTTCATCCTACAAAATTTTAAAAGCCATAAAGACCACCGGAGATCTGAAATACTGCTCCCTCCCCCTTGCCTCCAATTATGGGCTTGCTTTCTCCTTCTCTCATGAATGATGTTCTTTGTTTTGGGTAGGATCAGAGTGACGGTTGATGGCGAATTTCTGCATTACATTTTCCCCTTCCAGTTCCTGGACTCTCCGGAATGGGACTCACTGAGACCCACAGAGGAAGGCATTTTTCAGGTAAGGGGTAACTAGACCACAGAGTGAACACCACCTCTTCCAAACAGACAGACGTTTGTTTAAAAACAGGCTATGGTGAGCGCTGTGAATTGTGTAAGACTGATGAATCACAGACCTGTACTCCTGAAACAAATAATACATTTTATGTTAATTAAAAACATATATATTATAATAAAAAATAAAATAAAAATAAAAATAAGCAAACAAAACAGCAGATGACAGAGCAATAATTTATATTCAACTTTGGAATGTACTTTGCAGCATGTGTGACTTCGCAGCCCTGTTTGACTCTTGCTGATTACTGTCACTGTGTAGGTCCAGCGACAAGAAAAGGGATGGGCCTTGTATATGACAGAAAGGAGTCCATGATAGATGCTCTTAAATTTTCCTTTGCTTAGCTGCATATATGGAGATTAAAATATAATTAATTGAGATTTGACTATAAACTAAACACTGCCACTGACATGGTGGAGAAAAACACCAAGAATTTAAAAGTCTGCCCTTATTACAAAATGAGGGATTCCTAAAATTTAAAATGCTAATAGATTTTAGTTGTTTTCTAGCAAAAAAAAAAAATGCTAAACTTCCTGTCACTACTCTGCTGCTGTGTCTGATAATTTCGAAAGATAATCACTTCAGTGGATTCTATTATGGTATTTTGTTTTCCTACAATTCATACATGTAACATTCATGTGTGTATGCAAATACAAATTCATATACATATGCAGAATAGGTAAATAAATTCTATTTTGTGCTACAGAAACAATTAGAGTTAAATGTCTGTAGTCTTCGGGACTGACTTGGAACTACTTCTCTAACATTAGCCAACTTTATTATTTTTAGTATCAAGTAGCTCTCACTTCAGTAAAAGGTAAAATATAGATACCCAGATTTTGAAAAGAGAGAAATTGGAAATGGGCACAATGTTGTGATTGTTCATGTTATAAATTATATATGTAGCAAGACATTTTGTAGTTTCTCCCCGTTTTTACAATATATTGTGAGTCAGTGAGCTTTTTTAACCTAAGAAAGCAGCAAGTAAAATTGATTTAAAATTGGGGCCAAAAAAAAGGCAGAATTTTTCTTGCTTCCTAATCTTTGTTTTTTTATGTGGCCTTATATATATATATATATATATATATATTTTTTTTTTTTTTTTAGGTAACCCTCACAGCAGAAACTGATTGTCGATATGTGTCTTGGAGGAGAAAGAAATTGTATTTGCTCTTCGCTCAGCATCGTTACATCTCCCGCCTGTTTTCAGTTTTAATTGGCAGTGACATTGCAGATAAACTCTATGCCTTGAATGACAGAGTATATACAGGAAAAACATATCACTACGATATTCGGTTACCCAACTTCTATCAAATGTCAAGTCCAAAAATACGCAAATCACCCCTGACAGAACATTTCCGGAATTCCAGGCGGTATTGTGATAAATGACTTCGAAGTCAGAAGTTTTATAATTATAGAAAAGACCCTCTTCATCCTTCCCCAAATGAAACACAGAAAATCGTGCTCACTAACATTTTTACAAATCAAACTCACAGGCAAGATGCCACCGTCAGCTGTTTTACTCATCTCAACTTCTGCATCATGAATAAAGTTTACAAATTTCTCTGTATTTCTTATTGGAACAAGTGGGGAGGCGGAGAATGAACTGTGGGCAATTTCTCCTTTTCTGTGTCAGAACTGGGAGAATGAAATTTTGTGTTCTCAAATATTTCCTCAGATTTATTCAAATCTGCTATCTTGCCCTATTGAGTTAGGCTTTGCTTCTCAAGAAGCAGCCAGAAAGTACTCTCAGCATGAGAGTGGGTTGTGACTATCCACATCAGTGTTCCCAGAAGTCACTTTTTGCCACAACCTCTGATGAAAGCAAGGTGGATTATTGTGGTGGGCAGCGATTATTTATTTTAAATGTGAAGTTATTTAATATGACGAGACAGTAGAATACATGCAAGAGATGATAATATGTCCATCTTGAAGGCTAGCAACAAATAATTTATCAGCTCAGTCTTTCAAGAACATTTGAAAAGAGGCATTTTGTGGAAGACAAAGATGCATACTAATTACAGAGTAAAAAGAATACCCAGGAACAAATAGTAAAAGCGTTGCACAGTATTTCAGTCTCACATGGTTAGCCAAAAGGGCAAGTGTGAATGGTCTGACTGGACAGCAAGGGACTCAGCCAAAGCTCTACTCACCACACAAACGTGGGAGTCCCTTCGACGTTGTAAAGAAGAGCTAACAGATCCTCCATCTGATCCCTATCTTCAGAAACCTGGTTCTTTCTCTGGAGATCACCAGCCGACCATGTTCTTTGGTAGAAAGATAAATCATCATGCATTTAACAAATATGTATTGAGCTCCTACTGTGGCTCCAGGTGCTGACCTGAGCACTAGTGATACACCAGGTAACAGATTCCATCCCTCATAGCACTTACATTCTGGGGTGAGAGAGGCCGATAATAAAATAAAACAGAAAAACCTGGAGTTGGAAAGAGTGTCACCATGGAGAGAGAGAAATTAGGGACAGTGGGTAGGATGGGGCATTGTCATTTTAATAGAATGGTCAAAGAAGGCCTGAATGAGAAGGTAATGTTGAACAGAGACTGAGGGAAGCAAAGGAACAATCCATGCAGACACTTGGGGAATGAGGAATCTGGGGGAGTAGAGAGAAAAGCAAATGAGAAGGCCTGTAGACATGCACAGGAACAGAGAGAAGGCAGCACGGCTACAACAGAATGAGCACTGGTGGGAGAAGGCAAAGAGAATTTGGGGCAGATCGGGTGGGGCCTAATAAGTCATGGTGAGGACTTTGACTTTTATTCTGAGAGTGACCAGAAGCCACCGGGGAATTTTAAATAGAAGGATGGTGTGATCTACCTTATTTAATAAATTCAATAGAATCACACTGGCCAGCCCAGTGAGAATGGACTGGTGGGGGAGGGGAACAAGAGTGTACTTGGAAGGCAGGATCAGGGTTAAGTGTGAGATGCCTACCAGACACAAGTAGAATAAATGGTTGGATGCGTCTAGAGTTCAAGAGAAAGGTCTGGGCTAGAGAGAAAGATTTGAGAGTATGTCGCCTACGGATAATATTTAAAGCCATGAGACTTAACTACATGCAGTAAATGTAGATTCAGAAGAAAAATTGTTGGGAGGACCTTTCCTTGGAGCACTCCATTGTTAAGGGGACAGGGAGATGGAGAAGAGTCAGCAAAGGACAAGAGAAGGAGCAGCTAGTGAGGTAGGAAGAAAACCAGAAGCGTCATGTCCTGGAAGCCAAGTGAAGAAAGTGTTCAAGGAGAAAGGAGTGATGAACTGTCTCAAATGTGGCCAACAGGTCAGGTGCTGTGAAGTCTGAGAATAAACCATGGGGTTGAGCAGCATGGAGGTCACTGGTGAACATGACAGGAACAGTTTTAGTGCAGTGATTGGGAACAAACACTTGACTAAAGTAGGCTGAGGGGAAATGAAAGGCAAGAAATTGGAAAAGCAAGTACAAGTAAGCTTTTCAAGGAGTTCTGATGTGAAGGGAAATAGAAATGAACAGTAGCCTGAGCAGGAAGTGGGGTCAAGAGAGAAGATGTTTTCCATTGTTGTATGTAAGGTAAGAGAAAGAATGGCATATTTGTATGCTGATGGGAATGAGCCACAAGAGAGGGGTGAATTGCTGGAGGGATGCCCTTGAGCAGGTGAGTGATGATGGCATCCAGTGACCTTAAGCAGGAACACGGACAATCAGTCATGAGGAAGGAGGGTGGGCAGAAAGCACGAGGGAGCGCAGTTGCTGGCAAATGAGAGAGGTACTGGGAGCTCGTGGACGTTCTCTCATAATTACTTCTGTTTCTCAGTGACCAGGAAACCAAGTGAGCAAGAAGGGTGGGGGAAGAAGTTTTGGGGTTATGGAAGGTACATTATCTTTCTGTACATTAGCATCTGCTGTAAGTGGGACAGTGTGACAAGGTCTGATCATTAGTCTGGATGAGCTATTGAACTCATCAAGTTCAGCGTGAACTAGAGGAATAGTTGGAGGGGTTATCTCCCAGCCCCACATGGCTATCGTGGGCATCCATGACACAAGCAGACACAATGGCAGCACTCTGCTCGGTACAACTGAAGGCCTTCCAGTATTAAAGCACACAGCATCCTAAGGAGAATCCACACCTTAAGTTGGTACCAGCTAATAATGTCACAGGTGTTATTTATCGGAGAGCTTCTAACCATGAAAATCAACTGAGAACAAACCACATAGAAATGGGATGTAGATTTTTGGTTTAAATCATGTTGGTAGAGGGAGCAGAAGAATTTACGTACAATTTTTCCAGAAATCTAACCATTTTTAGGATGAAGGGGAAGGAGTACAAACAGAACAGGCTAAAGGGATATTGAAAGAGGAGGTACGGAGTTGAACCTCACCATCTTCACACTTGTGGGTAGGGCTAGCACCAGCCCTCCTCAGTAGAACAGATACACGATTATCCAACACCTTGGTTTGCACCCAGGTGTTCTCACTTCAACAACAATAACAAAATACCAAAATGCCTCTACTAACCTCTATGTACATACCCTGTATGTTTGGTTTGAAATGTCCAGCAAACCACATTTTGTTCTCTCAAAATACTCTGATCGACACAGAAAGAAGAAACCACAGATATCCAAATAAAAAGTACCCCTGAAGCACAATATCACAGTGCCCTTAAAATTTAATTTCTATTAAAAATTGGGCTCATTTTCATCTCAGCCTAATTGTTTCCAGCCCTAAATCCCTTTGATTCATTTATCACTGGTAAAAGGGCAATAAGATGAGGAACTGGTTGTTTTCTTGTGTTAAAAATGCTTTATGGCTTTGTACACAAGATCTGTATATGCATAAATAAGTAAAGCACCTTGTTCAGAAAGTATAAAGAATTTTAAGACGGAGAAAGTAGAGCACTGAACCAAATGCATGGCTTTTGTAAGCCTGAGGCCCTTTGCCTGCCCATGAAGCTGATCCTAGTCAAGAGTTATCCCTGTGACTTAAAAGAATTGGGGTGATTGTAATTTTCTGTCCTGAATTTTGTGGTCAGGAATGATCCTGAGAAGCAGCCTGAGGGGGAAAAGAAGTGGCTTAAAACGAGCCCATAAACACTCACCCCGGTCACCTAGGCAAGTTCCTAGAGGCTGCCGGCCCCATTTGCACAGCCTTCACTGCAATTGGAAATCTGGAGGCTTCCCATTCCCCTCAGGAGCTCGTCCTTTGAACTTGATTTGACCTCCATACAACGCACCAGTATGATTTGCCCTGGACTCTGCACCTCTAGGAACTCATGGTGCTGAAATTAATCCACCATAAAGAATAGCATGATGCTCTCTCAGCACTTACGGGTTGAGGAATTTTCTCTCCCCTTCAGCAAAGGAGCAGAAGGCAATTCAGTTGCTCTCTGCTCATCTGGATAAGCTTTGGATGTCATTTTGTTGCATTGCACGGAAGCAGAAGGACAGAATTGATTTGACAGAGCAGTTACTAAGTGAAATCCCCCAACCTAGCTGGCAAGAGCCATAAGAGAAACATACTAAGCAGACAATACAAATTATAAGAGCAATACATTATACATCATGTACTCGAAACTCCTGGTTTAACCAAGGACGTAAATATACATGCGGCATTGGATAGCACTAACTGGGTTCCACATTGCTATATGACACATGGTTATAGAAGAAATTAACCTTCAGAAATGGTGTTCCCAAATTAATATTATTTTTTAGCAAATGACAGCTTACTAAACTGTGGGCCATCAGTGGGCCAATTCCTTTATTTTTCTTCCTTCTACCAAAATTTAATACCTCCATATCAATAAAAATATGAATAAATAGCAGTATCATATAGACTTATTATAATAAAATATAAGTTCAATTTGATAGAACTGTGTATTATTTCAAGTTCAAAAATCTTACAATAATGAAAAGATGTTGCAAGACTGAAATATTACTTTAGCACTTAGTCATCTCACTATGAGTGTTAACATCATTTTAATGCTGGATTGTACATTTGCATGTAACATCAGCATGGTTTCAACATAATTTGAAGTTTTATTATTATGCTAAATTTGACTAGTTTTAAAACCTGCTAGCTATTAAAGATTGACAGGGAACTTTTTTCCCCCTGAAGAACTGATCATTTGTGTCTTGAACTATCATTTTTCCCTTTACTCTATTTCAATTCAAGCCTTAGTGATCTTAATAAATATAATTTTATTTTATTTATAGGATTCCAAAACTATTTGTTTTTACATACTTTTATAGTAGGATTGTAGCCCCACTTGATATAACATGAGATGCTTTGAGTCATCTAACTTGTGATTACCACTCTTACTAAATATAAAATTATCTTCCAAATTATAGAATTACAAAACAATATCTTACATCTATTTAATACTTTATAGTTTAAAAAGCATGCCCACATATTATTTCATTTACTTTTTTCTTGAAAGAATCCCACTTTATGGATAAAGTTTAGAGAGGCTGAATCACAGTAAGTGGTGACACTCAACTTAAGCCAGTTCTTCCAAATCAGCCAGTGTGCTTGCGTTTTGCCCGCTACACAGACCATGGTGCTGAGTGACTTGAAGGGAACTAAAACTGGAGGAGATTATGCTAAGTGAAATAAGTCAAGCAGAGAAAGTCAATTATCATATGGTTTCACCTATTTGTGGAACATAAGGAATAGCATGGAGGACATTAGGAGAAGGAAGGGAAAAATGAGGGGGGGAATTGGAGGGAGAGATGAACCATGAGAGACTATGGACTCTGAGAAACAAACAGGGTTTTAGAGGGGAGGGGGGAGGGGGGATTGGTTCCAAGATACAAAAGATATCTTTGGTGCAGTGTAAGTGGACATTTGTGAAGAACAGGGTATTACTATGAGATAGAAATTGGTTCATCTGAGATCAAAGTTTAGCCAATATATGAGCACAATATTTTTCTGAGAAAAGGAATTTCTTTTCAAACTCCCCTACTAGTCTATATCTGTTTGGGAACAGTGCCTGGCACATGGTAGCTGCTTTGTAAATATTTGTTGAGTCTAAGGAAAGTAATTGCATCTGTTCTTGAATCCATATCTGAATTTTAACACTGATTCCCCCTCCCAATTGGACTTCGATCGTGCAGTGCCATCGGTAGTTTTCTCATGGAATAAAATTAAAGGCCTGTAATAATATCATTTTTTTCTACATGTCTTTTTTTTTCTGCATGATACAGAACTATTCTATCTTTAAGTGACTTCAAAGCCACATTTTTCTTACTGATATTGTCGAACTGAGTTTAAGCAACACT